CCTGACCTGACCCGACCTGACCTGACCTGAACTCATCTTCAAATAATCAACTCAAGTTGTTGAGGACCATTGAATGTTGAATCGCCATTGAGGATGACCACAAATACAAGTGTTTGGATGGAGGCTTGCATAACTGAGGATGATATTATTTCTGATTCCTTACCAAAATCAAAATGTACCAGAGATACAAAAGGAAGCAGCAAAGCTGGAAAAAAAATGGGTCCCCCTGTTTAAGTCGTTGTCTACTCATAAATGCGAATACCCAGAATTCATTCATTTTGCAATGAACAGTACTCCTGGGCAATAAAGGATATTAACTTGAAAAAAGTTGGTGGTCACCAGTCTAATTTACAAGAAAATAATGGTTGTATTTTAGTTGATAGTGTCAATTTTGTCAGTATAATAACGCTTGTACCATAGGTTCCTATGGCAGAAATACTATGCCATATCTCAAAATATAGGCTGGTGACATATGCTGAAAAGATCATCTATTGTGAATAATGGGGTACTTATTGTCCTAAATTATTTCAAAAATCTGGGTTTTAAAAATTGGCAAAAAATGTGTTTTTTCTTTAACATTGTGTTATAATAGCGACTTTTGAAAAATATTACCGGGTAAGACAAGTTTCTCAAAATGTATCACAGTAACACAAAATATAATGCTATTTCATGGTGTCATGTGATAATAGCTCCATGGTTTTACATAATAAAGCAATGAACATTGTCGTACGATTTATGAGTAGACTTCTAACTTAAGCCCCTGTGTCAATGTATGTGTTTTATATCAGTCGTATTTTGTGTTACAAGTGACTGTACCCAAACATTTGTATACACGGGTGTCCTCGGGGTTGAATACAGTTAATGCTACTCAACACAACTTGAGTAAGGTTTGTTGCTCAAATAACTGATTTGAAGATGTGCATCACAGTATCTGATTGGCTGGGTTTCCAGGTAATGGCACATCAGTGGGTGTATTTCAGTGATAGAGGGCGTGGTTTACTCATATTTATTTTGATGCGTTGAGAAGTTGAATACGCTGAACAATTGTACGGTATATAATTATGACTCGTTCCAAACCATCTATAGAAACAAACGTATAATCTCTGCATATAACTTTATAATCTTAATATGGAAGTAACAATTGAAATTCAACTCTTTTTTTTTTTTCAGTTCAAGAAATGATTGACAATCCCTTTGATACAAGATCGGACAGTTTCTACTTCGTGGACAACAAATTGATCATGCATAACAAGGCGGATTATGCGTATAATGGGGGACAAGGAGCAATGTAATCAGGTCACAGTCTCAGAAAAAAAAAACATACACATAAAAACAAATAGAATTTGTACTTATTTTACGAAGCTTGTTTCAGAGAATATCAACTCGCTTATTTCTGAACAACAAATTTCCTGGTGTATATTTCAAGCCAAATGACTTATTTTTGCAAGAATTTTTTTTTTAAACACCCTCCTTCCCCTGACTAGCAATGTTAGAGGCTTTTGAAAAGTGCAAAGTGTTGGGGGTTTGAGCTGTAGTGCAAGAAAATCCAAATTATTTAGTTTGTACCGTCCACCCATTTTTATCTAATGAATTATACAAATAAAAGTTGTGAAATATGAAATGACCCTATTGTTGATATTGTAATTGTAAAGATTTAGCTGGCACATTTATATTATTTTTTTTTCTTCTCACCTCTTAGTAAAATAGCAAGAAGTTTGTACACTTTGTTTTTGGAGCAATGTAATGTCACTTTTTCTTTTTCAAATGAGATTATGCCCCATGAGTAACTATTCCATACTTGTCACCTTGTTCAAAAAATATTTCACGGTTTATACTTAAAGGGTTTTATTGTCTTCTGTGCCCGCATATATAACTAATTTTAATTGAGGACAAATTTAATTTTGTAAATTCAGACATTTTCATCTGAAATTTGTGTAAAGTAAGAACTGACTTGTTAATATTCCTATCATTGTCAAAAAAGTATCTTTTCTATATTACAATGTACTTTAATCTTATTTCTCTCAAGCATTCTTGCGCATCCATGTTGTGGTGTCACCAGTCCAGCTAGCTAGGTGATAAGATTGTTTTATTACAATCCAAGTCTAATATGTGAATATTTATGGCTGTAGTGAACAGCACGTGTATGGGATTTCCATATTCACTACTTTTTAATGAGCTATTATATAGGTGTTGTCAGTGCTGCGTGGATTCATGATTCAGAGATGTACACAATATGAACTTATAAAAGTACAAATGCAGCCTATATTTCTATTGATGGGCAGGCTGTAACTTGTACCACAGCTGTCACAAATTGGGGACATCTTATCGTTGTGAATATGCGAGGCTTAATTAGTTGTCAGTTTGTTGTTTCATCTTGTATTATTCAAGACGACTGTGGTACAATGTATTGTGAAACAATATTATAGCCATGCATTCCATTTTAGACTTTGACCTTTGTTCATTAATAATAGTTACCCACTTTTTATTTTTGAAGAACCATTTATATGTAACTGATGCTTGCCTACATCATGTACTTTGTTCTGTGATGTGCTAAGTGATTAGAATGTGTTAAACTGCAGTCTAATGTCAGTGCATCACAGCGGTATGCTTTAGACTTGTTTAATTTCTCAGGTAGACGATAACAGTAGTAGGAGTAAAGTTGGGGTCTAAGTAGAGGCAGAGGGATTTGACAGAAATTATTACTTTGGGCAAGTGAAAATACTATTGGATATGTAATTATTACACACAGGTTTTTATCTAATAGACTGTTGGCCACCATTTCCCATGCCCATTTTTGCTTAATTCTGTTCTCAAATCAATACATAATCAAATGACTTCTTTTCAGAATTTCAGAAACTTTATCAAGATGTACATTTTATTAATCTGCATAATCCTGTTGGAAGGCGAACCAGATTTAATATAGCCTATAGGTACAAGCTTTACACTGCTGTTACTTTGGCATTCTCCTGTACATCGCCCTCTATTGATGTACCTTTAATTTTGGTCTCTAGAGGGAGTCCTACAGGCTGCAGAGCAAGGTTCAATGTTTATAAATATAACTTGATTATTTTTGTCCTGTAAACTTAAATCTATTCAGCTTTAATTATGGTTTGCATATATTGACAATTACAAGTTGTCCACCGACCTAGGTCACACAGCGTCTCCCTTCACATGTATGTATGTATGTATGTATGTTCAGTACAAGATACTTTAAAAAAAAATAATCATATAGTCGTTATCACAGTAACACTACTTTTCAATGTAGTAAACATGGGGGGGGGGGGGAGGGGCTGATTGTTTCCAGGCTTGGAGGCCATATTTATCTGCATATCAATTGAGGTTTATTTTGTGTTCATTGCTGTGTCACGTTAAATTGTATATATATCTGTTGAGCTGTAGATGTCAAATGAATGCTTGCAATAAAGTACACCACTGTTTGCACATTGTGCAGTGTCTCATTTATTATCCCCTGGTATGTTGCCTATGTGGATTATATAGTGGTGACAAGCATTGATTGGTACATCATCTATGTTATATCATGGTCATGTGACCTCATTAAAATTGTAAAATTATCATGTATAGACATTCAATCAGTGCTTGCAGTAAAAATGCTGGGTATCTCGGATGGCTGTCGCTGGAATTACTGCTGGGGTTGGACAGTGCACTAAAACCATATTAAAAAACAATTTCCTATATTTTTCATCAATATAAATCCAGGGACTAGCAATTTGGGTTCCATCCAGTCATTACTTGGACTTTCATTTATCAATTTTGGTATAATGGAAAGTCGTAATAGTTGACACGTAGGAGAACCTGTCAATTATTACAAAGTGATTTATCTATAGTCATTCTTGTTTTCCCGTTTCTATTTAATTTAAAAATATTCCATTATAAAACTAATAGATTATTAATGAAATATATATCATAGCAAAAACAGTTTCTAAAAGTAATACCTGGTTCACACATAACATTTACCCCGTTGTAGCACCACCGTAAATTTAAAGACAGTTATTTTTAGGGTGTGACCAGTTTACGCCAGTGTAAAAATAGTGGATTTTACACTGGCATAAACTTTCTGACCAGAGTCAGAGCTCAGACATAAAATCTAAACCAAGTTTTTATTTTTTCGTGCCAGGCGACAGTTCCGGACATTGGTTATCACTGTTGTCTCTCCTGACTTTTTTTGTATGTGCATTTTGCCACAGAAGTCATATTCATGTTTGGGACTACATGACAGGGCTGCCTGTCCATCTCTGTCAAATGGCAATTTGTAATTCGCTATCTTGGCGTCAACCAGGCCTGGTCGAACACAAACACCTGCGGACC